GAGATCCTACACTACAGAGATTCTAAGCTGCCTTGGAGAGCTTACTTAAATACAAAGGGGATCATTAATTTAAATCAATTATTAAAATAATTCAGTTAACACCTGGTGCAGCCTGCCAAAAGCACACATAGACCTCAGCTCGTCTGCAAATCTGGGAATTGTTTCTCCTGCTTTTCACTATACCCTGAACTGCAAATTCTCTTTCCAACATCTAAGTTTCAACTTGCTTATTGCATATGAATGTGACAGAGAAAGGTTATTTCATCAGAAGGGATGGAGCCCAGCCCTGGGCACAGGGTACCTGGCCACCCACCTTATCAAATATTGCCCCCTGCAGTACTTCTTGCAAAAACACCCAATGGACAAATCCATTTGTTTCATTCCCAAAGGCTTTCCTGCTTACTGGACTGCTCCAAGCCTGCAGCAATTGTGCATTTGCTGTTTTATTCACTCTGAAGTTTGTGTCTGTTTTATGAGCCTTTTTGTCTCTCAAGGGTCCTCTCCTGGTATGACCTGCTGCTCCCACACCAACCCAGCAGAGATTTTACTCTCATTCACTATTTGGGCCAGACTACAGAGAATTAAATCCTCTCTTATTCAAACAAGGCACAGAATAGTACTTAAAAAAAACCACAAACAACCTTCTCCCCTGTAAACATCAGAAGTGGGACTTCACACCTTTAAGAGCCTAAAAAGATGTTTGGTGAATATCTATTTTCTTTGAAGTGGAGCTCTCCTTCCCTCAGAGAGAAGTCTCTGCTCTTCAGATTCTTGATCTCCAACTTTCCTCATTACCCAGCAGAAATTTTACTAACTGCATTATTGGTGAAGCTGAGTCGAACAAGTTAAAATGCCAACTTTTTAAACTTTGATATATAAATAGAAAATCTTTAAGTCCTCCTGTGAGTTTCAGCAGTCAAAGCAAATAGGAAGAGGCGTGTAAGTATTTGGGAAAGGATGCCACTGAAGTTAGTAGTGACAAGCTGTTCAGATTTGAACTGGTAAATACGCAATATATGAAATAGGAAAAGGAAATATTTCGAACCGAGCGATGCCAAAATTGCAATCAGCAAATGGAAGGCTAAATGTGCTGAGCAAATCTGGATGCTTTTTTTATTATTTATTTTTATTGTTTGAGCCGTGCCATATAACCATCTCGTTACAAGAACGGATCAATAACAGCTCCCGGCCACCCCGCTGCAGTGTCGTGTCACACCTCCACCCACAGCCCCTGCGACAGGATTTCGGTGCAAGGGACGTGTTCAAGGCTGCTAAGGAAGGAAGTGCTGGCCTGCTTCTGCTCCTTTGGGTTTGAAAAACTTGAAGCCAGTGGGGATTTGTGACATCCAATACACAGGAGAGATGAGAATTTGGGAATGCGTGGGGGACTGCAAACAGCCACTACGACACTCAAAAGCTGCAAGTACTGGAGTGCCCAATTACACAGTGATGCACAAGTGACTGCATGAAGGTGACACCCATCTTCTGAAGGTGACATTCCCCAAATCCCTGAGCCCACTGCTGAGGCTGCAGGACAGCACCAGGGCAGTGGGAAGGCAGAGCCAGAGGGACACGTAGGTGGTGGCTGGCAGAGAGGGCAGGTGAGTGTCACCACCATGCCCACACCAGCCAAAGCCACCAAAAGCAATTGTCATTTGCTGCCAGTAAAGCAGGAAGAGGACAGGTGAACATAGGAGAAGAGAAGCAGCAGGGACACATCTTCCTTTGTAAAGGACCCAAAGCAGTGGGAGGTGTTGACGGCAGGAAATGTTTCTGTTTCAGGCTGGAGAATGCAAAAGAACGGCTTCATAAATTATTCTCTGTTCTGGAGGAAGAGTGAATAGACTTGAAGGACAGGTGATGTCTCTGAAATATGCAAATAAAGCTCAGCTGGTCCAAGAAATTACCTTTCCACTGCCTGGAACTTCAGACTGAAAGGAATGACTCACAAGAAACAAAAGATGTGCTAAAAGGTAGAAGATGAGAAGGAAGACTGCATCAAGAGGAGAATGGAGACAGCACGGAAAAGAATATTCCTGACCTCCTACTAACAGCTGTTCTTGGGAAAAGAAAAAAACAACCCACAACACATAGTAAGACCATGCCACACAGAAGGGCTGAATTCCAGAACATCCTGAAAAGCAATTGTTATACTGGTTCTAGACCAACACAGCCTTGAGATTCCCGTGGCTTCATGGATATAAAGACAATGGACCTCACCTCAAATATCCTCGAGGTTACCTGTTAATTTTAAAGATTTTAAAGCAAATAAAATTGCTGAAAAAAAGTGCAGTATGATATTTTTTCCCCAGGTTTTAGATAAAGCTTTGAAAGAGACTATTAGGCAGGATTATGAGACAGCCTGCAGGCAGCAAGGGTGTAAAAGAAACTAAACCACATTGGAAATAGCCAAGCAGATATAGTCAAAAATGGCACACAAACTTCAGAGAGCAGAGAACAGCTATGCTGCTGCCTCTCTACATTCAGCTGTCTCCTAATGAAGTGTGGGCACTCCAAAGTCAGTGCAGGAGTAGGAAGCAGCAGGTGAGATCTGGGCTGCTGTTAGAGTTCTCATTGCATCTGGACACAAATTCAGGGCAGACCTCCTGCATCAGAACCCTTTTACTTTTTTTTTTTTTTTTTTTTTTCCCCCCATCCAAAACAAAGATAATAAATTAAAGCAGGTAAATCTGATGCTGGAAGTGTACTAATGAAGAAACTTCAATATGAAAGAACGAATCAATGAAGAAACAAGAAAAAGGAATGAAGAAGTGGATCTATTTGGACTGCAGAAGAAATACTGCATTTAGTTTCATTCTGTTTATTAACAAGGACACTGACAGCTTGAAGGCTGCAGAACGGCAGCAAATTTGCTGAGGAACAAATGAACCTATGAAAAAAATAAGCAGTTTTAAGCTTAAAATGTTACTGAAGGATGAAGATAATAAAGCCCTTTTGCAAATATATGAAACAGCAGACTGAGGAGGATTTAAAATAACACAAAAGAACAGCTTTAATGGATGAGATGAATGGTTGAAGAAAAAGTATGTTGGGAATATTGATAAAGTTTTAAATAGCAAAATTCACAAGGATGCACAACAAGAAATTGAACACTTTTGTACTGTAATTACAATTTATGATCCATAATGATATGAAAGCCAAACTTTTCAAATTTGTAATGTGCACTTTATACTGCTTTTAAACCAAGCATTTGGAGTATTTCATTCAGAATCTATGGAAAGTAAGAAAAATCTGAAGGAACCCGGCAGATGAGCATATAAAGGAGACACAATGACAGTGATGAAGCACCTTGTAATGTACCCACAGCTCTTTTCTATAAATCCAATTTGAAACTTGAAGACTAAAGTAGCTATTTTATCTCCATCCCCTGACACATCCATCTCCATCATTTTAAAGAACAGAGCTCCCTCTCGTGGCTCCAGAACGTGGATTTGGTGGGGAGAAGGAAAAACGGGAGAGCAGCACGAGATGCATCAGGGAGGATTCCTGAGAGCATTTTGGTCCTATAAAAGTGGAATTAAAAGGATAATATAATAAGAAAGACAGGTGAATTCTTGTGAAGAAAGCAAAGCCACCTTTATTTCGATGCTGACTTTTACATTACATTTTCTGCTAAAGGTAACCTCATACCTTAGGGGAAGAGGGGACGAACAGGAACAGTGCTGCCAACCTTTCTGTGTTTGCTTTATGGGTTCTTTAAAATATTTGTTTTGTAAAAACATATTACACCTCTTACGTGGCTGACAGTGTTGTAACCTGAAGCTGACAGCTCTGACAGCAAGTATTTCTCTGAGGCAAGGAAGTGAAGGGAATACCCAAAAAACTAAACCTGGCACCACACTGAACAATTTTTTCATGAAAGCACTGAGTATTTTGTTTAATTTTTTTTTCATTTTTAAATTAATATTCACATGTTTCACTTGACACTTCATTCAGGGTTATACATAGATTTTTACAAATTACTTTATTTCTGTATGAGAATTTTAGCCCAGACAAGAATTTACCCAGCAAGCAGCCAACTTTGGCAAACTGCACAGCACATAAAACTATTTTCTCCAAGGGCATTAAAAAGGATTTTTTACAAATGACAACCTTTCTTTGCTGCAAAAACACGATGAATGGCATGGAATGTGAACTAGTGAAGGAAAAAAAATTAATCTTAAATCTCAGGAACAGCATCAGAAGATAACTCAAAATCAAATTCTTTAATTCACAGGACTGTGCCCACACAAGATCTTGCTTCCAAGGCACAGGAGCATAGAAGAACAAATTTCCAACCATGAGAAGAAATTACCATGCCTTCAGCATTTTACTATTAGTGAAATATTTCCACTCTGTTTCCAAATGCTGTATTTTTTCTAAAGAGCAATCCTCTTTAAAAATCATATAAAAGTGAGTCTATAAACAGGAGATATCCTTAAGGATTCAGTCAAGTAATAAACCTGGTAGATGAAAGACAAATTAATTAAAATGACAGTACAGTCTCCCTATAACACACGGATACAAACTTGTTATGTTGGAGTACCTAATCATAATCAGATTTGGTAATTTGCTGCATGGAAACAAAAAGGAAACATTTTTAGAATTGATCATTCAGTTCATGTCACTTTCATGGAGATTGCTTTCTATTGATCAACATTTAAAGAGTAGTTGAAAAGAGAAGGATGAGAAAAGGATAAAAAGTATCTCTACATACTAAATACAGCATGAACCAATAAGAGCAAAATAAATTAGATCACTACAGCCAAACCAACCCTGTGCATGCACTGGCTGTAATGAAGATCATTATGAATGAAAGAGATGGTTATTCATGCTTCAGTCACAACAAAAGGAGAGTTTTACAAATAATTTTAGACTTTAATCTGCTCAAAATGAAGTTTTCCATGCAGCAATTAAAACCTGTAAGAAGCTGAACCATTGTCAACTTCACAAAGACGAGTGCTGGTTGGTTTTCCAAATGCTATTTCCACGCTTCCTACCTGTGGATTCCAACTGGGGTCAAGTTTTTTCACTGCAGCAATGTACTCCTGCATAGCTTGGTGAGGGCTGGTATCTCCCAGGGCTTTCCAAGCCTCCCTAGGAGCAACAGCAAACCATCAGTGAGCCCCTCAGAGACAGCACAAGGTGTTTTTATAGTGACATCAGTGGAACACAGCAAACAGATTCATCAAAACCCTTTCAGGGCATGCAAAGCCATCTTTCATTCAGCTTGAAACAGTCAATTTTTCTCTGAGGCCATGAATGGCCACTGTCAGTGCAGCTCTGTTGTGAAAGGATCTTTCAGAGGGGATCCTGATCCAGGCTGGAACACAGTTTGTATTCACAGAGCTGCAGCTATTTTCACATTTTTGCTGTATTGCATGCCAGTTCTGGATGAAGGCAGTAAATAAAGGATTCTGGTATTTCACACCTGTATCAGGCAAAGCAAACATTTCCTTGTTTAAAAAAAGGCTTTAAAAAAGCCATTTCAGTGGCAACTCTCCGAGCTGACATCCCCTAGGTCCATAATTTGTCAACAGATGAGACAAGATGGAACAAAAAGTAGAGCCAGAATTGCTAGGAATGACAAGGATTTCCTCTTACCATTTCTGCTTTCCTTGAAAATCAAAGAAGCTTGGCTTGGGAGTGTTACAGGTTCCAAGTTTCACCTAAAGAAAAGAAATTTCCTTTTGTCAGAACAAAACAAAGGGGACTTGTGCAAGGAAAATTCTGTGTTCTGATGGTTTCAGGGTAACCGTGTCATAAGGCCAGAAAAAAGGGTTTTTTGGGAAAAAACTTCATCAACCCCATCTCACCCCTGCTTCCCTGGGTTTTCTTTGCATGATGCACAGGAAGCAATTTCGTTGTGCAGCTCATTTCTTTTGCATGCATTACCCACAGGGATAACCAGCGAGTGATTTCTCACTAATGTTATGTTTATTACCCAGCCAAACGCCTCATCCTCCACCAGGATAAAGAAAAATTCTGTTGATTAGGGTTTCTACAAGAGATGATTATTCATTACGGCTGAAATTTACCTGCTTCCGCACAAGGCTCGAGTAAACAGATTTGCTTAATTATTTTCAAGGTCCTCTGGAAGGCAAGGGGACAAAGTTGGAGCAAAGGAATGCCAGGCAGCTCCTGAATTTGCTCCGAGGCACCTGGCTGCAGGAAGCACTGCATGAGAGGCAAGTCAAGGCCTGAGTGCCAGAGACAAAATCTGTCAGAAGCAATGCAGAAATGAAAATGTGTGTGGGGGGGTGAAATTAAAAAACACAAGGAAGAAAAGGAACGAGCCAGAACCCAGGGACAGATCTATGGAAAAAAGTGTCATAGCCAGTGTAAAACAAACTTGGTGCTAGTGGGATTAAGGCAGTTTTCCATGTGTAAAAGTTTTAAACACAGGATGATGGGTGAAAGGCTGGAAGTCACAGCTGAGCTAGAGCAGCAGCTCCTGGGCAGCAGTTACCACAGCAAGTCCCCCTAAGACAGGGCACAGCACAGATGGGGACCCCAGGGAGGGGACACAGGTACATCCTGGACATGGACAAAAGCTGCTGGGGAAATGTTTTGTTAGCCAAGCAAAACCAAACTGCATCCACCAAATGTTTTATGAAATATGCTCAAGTGCTCAGGCAGGTGAAGTGCTTAAATCAACGAACAATTCTTCACCTTAACAGGGTGGGGATTTTATGCTGAGGATGGAAGCATTAATCAGGCTTTAAAGAGAGCATGCCCATGCTGAGAGATATTTATTAGTTATACTATGTTTTCATTTAAAGTGTTAGAGGATATGAGTGACTGTAACTGAAATTAATTTTCTGCACATCTGACTGTCTCCCAGTGATCAATTAATCCAAATTAGAACACCTTAGCTGGCCTTTAAAACAACATATTGCATTTCAGGGAGAAATAGGAGAATAGGCTAGCAACAGTTAAGTTGTATAAGTCAGTCACAATTCATGTAGTCTAAATGGTTTTTCTCTATGCTCTGAGGTGGATTAGACCACTTGTTTTAAAAGGCAAAACAAACTAGGGAATAAAATGTAAATTCATTATCTGTATGGAAAACGCCTGCTTAGCAATTCTTTAGTTCAACAGCCAACCTGCAGAAATTGGCCAAGATAGATAAAAAAAATTAATCTGTTTTAATATTAATTTTCCACTGCCATCATCAAAACACGAGAGCAGTTTCCTCTCTGGAGACTTGGCACTCAAAGGCTGTTCTAGCATTGGGGAAGACTGATAGTAACATTGATAGTAATACAAATCAAGGAACAGTAGTTAAATTTCATCCATCAAGAGGGGAAAAAAGCGCACTTGTGCCCTGCTTGCTATTTTAAGGTACATTAAAAAGGCCTGCAGTGGTTTTGTTGGAAAGAATAAAACACAAGATTTTGGCTCCTGTCTTTTTGCCACAACACTCACAATGCAGGAGAAACCGACGAGGAATTTAACATAAAAGGGGACCTGAGCCTGACAGCTGAGGAAGGAGAGTGAAACATGCCAATACTGACAAAAATTTTGTGCAGGACTCTGTCCTTCTGCTACTTCCCTAGAAGACCTCAAAAGCTGTTTTACTCCACAGCCAGCATGAAGCCAAGAGCCTGTATTAGTATTTTAAATTAAGACTTTCTCATTCTTTGTCCAGAAAATAATTATTGAAGGTCTCTAGGGTGCTGACTGGTCACCTGATGCTCAGCTCTCCTCACTTACAGTTCATCAGCTGCATTAAAAGAACATGACAGAATGCATTAAAAACTTTCTGGTATTGCCTTTCTGCGTGCAGAGTTGCCTGCAGGCACTATTCTCCTGAGTGGCACAAACATGACCCAGGCAGCCCCAAACAGGCAGCGTCTGCAGCCAGCTCCATCTGTGGCCAAAATAAATTTGGAAAGTTTGGATGAGGCCTTCACCTGAGAGCTGAAGGTCAATGACATTTAGAAGAGAGAGAGATGCTCAGAGATGTGTTAATGCTGCTCACCATCCCCATACACCTTCAGCTGTTGCTCTACACTGTGAGAAACCTTGAAATTCTCCTCACACCTTACTCCACAACAGGTTCTCCCTCCCTGGTGGTGGTTAAATGGCTCTTTGCTAATTTTTCTGCCAATATATTTATACAGCAAGGTGTTCCAGCCAAATATACCGACCTGATTGTAAATCTTGTAAGGTGAATTGTATTTGCAGCCTCCCTACGGAGCAATAACAGGAACAGAACCTCCATGGACAGCAGCACTGTACCCAAGCCAAGTAAGCTAAATTGCTTTTGCAAGACAGCAATTCCTGCCTGTTCCTGTCCACAGCTCTGTCCCAACCCGTGGGGAAGCCCTGACTGAAAATGGGGTGTAAGGAAGGACAAGCAAACACCAAACACAGAAAGGGGGGGGGTCATGACGACCAAGGGACTGCATGTCCCAGAGGGACAGAGAGTGACACTGGCAGCAACCAAGTCAGTGCCATGGCATGGCTCCATGCAACAGGGAGCTGCAGGAGGAAATTCCTGTGTTCAGGGCAGGTTTGTGGCATCATGTCCCACAATACTTGAAAGACATCATGAAAAATTGGTATTATATCCTTGAGCCCACACTCAGAGACAGTACAGGCCCCGTTTTGCCATCAGCAGGGGATTTCCAGCTTGCCAGCACCTCTCAACACTTACATTGACACATCCTCCTTCTGACAGGGCAGTTTTCCCAGTCCAGTAATTTCCAGCGAGTTCTGGATCCCCTTCCCTATCTAAATCACCACTGCTACACTGATCTCCATTACTGCACCTTCTGAACCTCAGATTTTTCATCCTCCACATGATGGGCAAGCACTCCCTTCACCACTACAGACACAAGGCCCAGACTAGTGATTTGCCCAAAGCCACACAGAAAATAGTGGAAGGGAAGAAAAACCAGTCCCAGTCCAGAGCCTTATGGACTAGTCTGTTCCTCCTGTTGTGGGCCAGAGTCATAAACTCAGCAACATCTTCTAAAAACCTCACTGGATATGACAACTAAGCAATTCCCTTATTTTCAGATCTCTGACACATAAACAAAATCAGAGAGAAAAGTAATAAAATCCTGAAATGGCCTCCAATAAAAGGTAATAAAATTCCAGGAAAATGCCTATATACCCAAACAGTTTGAAATAAATTACATACAGTATTTTAACATAGAGCTCAGCTGTTACTGTCACCTCTTTTATGACGGTGCTGTACCTTAAATCAAAGCCTTTAGTGACACAAAACACTAAACTGGGAAAAGACAAGGATGCCAAATCAAGGACAGTGGACAGATCTGAGTCAGCACCTTTTGTGTGCCAGCAATTCCACCATCCACCGGGGTAATATATTAGCAGCTCATTATGCATCCTGATATGGCTGCTGTAATTAAACACAGAAAACTTGCATTCAACGCCCTCGTTTTGGTTTAAAGCACAAAATGCTACAAAACTTAAAGTTAGCTGGGCACAATCCTGCAGTGGCTGTGCTGGCAAACCTCTCCCATCTCCAGTGCCAGCACTGCACTGCCAGGCACTCTGTGACAGGAGGGCACCTTTCTGAACTGGGAAGGCACAGAAAACCAGGAGCCAAGCACAGCCTGAAACCAAGGAGCACAAAGGCACTTGCTGTCACATCCCAGTTGGTCAGGGACACAGGAGTGCCCTGTTCTTCTCAGTGGAAAGCAAGTGGAAATCTGTGCTGACAAAGTGTTAATTGTCAGCTTTTCCTGACTTGTATCAAAACTCTTGTGAAATAGCTTCTAATTTTGCTATTTTAAACCTTAAACTCCTTATTGGTTTTACAGAGCTAATACCAGGAAACCCTCTGTAGTCTGTGGACAATCAAGCTGACAAGAAAGCAATCCCTTCCCATTACCACCCAGGATAGTCACAAAGCAGAGCAAAAAATAAAGATTTTATTTGCAACAAGCATCCTGAGAATACAGAATTATTAAAAATTATAGAAAAGACACCTTTTTCCTCTCATCTTGGGAATTGTAAAATTCTCCTTTTATTTTTTTTTTTCCTACCCTCCTTTTTCTCTCAAGGGAAAGAGAAACCTGCAGTCCTGTTTAAGCACTAAGCACGGTCTGAAAACAAAACCTCACGTGACCAGCCTGCTTTTAACATAATTACTGGTTCCCAAACCACAGCCTGGGAGCTGCCAGCTTAGAGGATAATTAAATATTGCACTAAAAAATTGAGAGCAATTACACATGGCAGTAGTAGGACACGGGTAATCCATATATGGAAGATCTGCACACCCAAATTTGTCTGTTGATCCAAATGAGTGGGATTCAGTTCTCAAGCTGAGGCAGCACCTCCTGCCACACACTTGAGCCACAGAATCACAGAATGGTTTGGGTTGAAAGATCGCCTAGTTCCAACGCCCTGGCATGGTCAGGGACACCTTCCACCACAACTGGTTGCTCACAGCTCCATACAGCCTAAATTTATAGTTTTATTCTTTCATATTCTGGGTGTAACAACACTTACAGTTTTGTGTTTCTCCAACTAAAGTGATTGTTACAGTCCTTTGCAACTGGTGCTTTGTTTGGTTTGTTTTATGTAACTTCTCCCACCGGAGCAGGAAGAAGCTACATTGTGTATTCCAAGAGGATGCAGCCCATAGTTTGCTCAGTTCACACAGACTGAAGGGGAAATGGGGGCTGTGTTCAAGGTTACCACCAGAACCAACCAGCTCTGTTGTGGTGCTGTTCCTCCACACCAATTTCAACCACTGTGGACTCTGCCAAAGCCAAACCAACGCCACAGGATCATTAATGGAGGAAAAGATGATCGTTCAGTCCAACCTTTGGCCAAACACCAGCATTCCCACTAAACCATATGGCAAAGCCCTGCTTCTGCTTGGTTTTTGAACATTTCCAGGGATGGGCATTCCACCACTTCCCTGGGCAGCCCATTCCAGTGCCCACAGCCCATTCTTTGCCCACTCTTTCAGGCAAGAAGTCTTTCCTAATATCCAACCTGGATCTCTCCTGGCAGAACTTGAGTCTGGTTGCTGTTGTTCAAAGGATGCAGCGTCAGGGCCACCCACACTGAGCGAGGGTGAGAGGTGAGGAACAACCACCAGGGTGATGGCTTTGCAGAATCATTTGGTTTGGAAAAGACCTCTGAGATCACAGAGTCCAACCTTAGACCGACCCCTACCCTGACAACCACACCACGGTGCCAAGGGTCACGTCCAGTGATTTCTTGGACATCTCCAAGATCAGTGACTCCATCTCCTTCCCTGGGCAGCCCCTTCCAATGCCTGACCACCCTTACAGCGAGGAACCTTCCCAGATATCCAACCTGGACTGCACCTGGCCCAGCTTAAGGCTCTTTCCTTTTGTCCTCTCACATGTTACCCGGGAGCAGAACCCGACCTCCACCTGGCCACAATCTCCTCTCAGGTGGTTGTAGAAAGCAATAATGTTCCCCCTGAGCCTCCTTTACTGCAGACCAAACCTCTTCACCAGACTTGTGCTCCAGACCCTTCCCCAGCTCTGTTCCCTTCTCTGGGGACACGCTCCACCACCTCAGTGTCCTCCCTGAACAGAGGAGTCCAAAACCGAACCCAAAATTTGAGATGCAGCTTCACCCCTGCCCACTGCAGGGCGTCGCTCACTGCGCTGGTCCTGCTGGAACCGAAAATTTGTTTTCTGTTTTATTTATCACCGACACAGCCCTTGGCCTTTTCGGGCTCATGTTTAGCAGCTGTCGATCAGCACCGCCAGCTCCTTTCCCGCTGGGACACTTCCCAACCACTTTCCCCGCAAATTTCGGCGGGTCTGTCCCAGCGGACTCCATCCACCCCCATCGCAGGCGCAGCCGGGACTCAACTTCCCTCCTCGGCACTGCTGCCACGTTTTGGGCCGCGGCACCGCTCCGCTCTCGCCCCTCAGCCCCGGGGCCGCGCTCAGCCCGTGGGCCGGTCCCGCCTCACCTGCTTGTAGCGGGCGTACAGATAGAGCAGCTGCTCCTTGCTGGCAGCGGGCAGCAGCGAGGGGAGCCGCTCGGCCGCCTGCTCGAAGAGGGCGGGCAGGTCTCGGGCGGGCAGCGCTGCCGCCGGCTCGGAGCCCGAGCTGAGCTCGCCGCCGCTGCCGCCCGCCGCCGACAGCGGGGGCGACGCCATGGCGGCCGGTCCGCCCGCCAAGCGCTCCCCCACCGCGCCTCGGTACGCGCCCGCGCCGCCCGCGGGAAACGCGAGCCGCGCACCAGGGTTCCGGGCGGAATACACACGGGATACGTGTCCAGGGTGACACGACGGAGAGTGACGGGATCCGTCAGGTTGGGGAACACCTCCGAGGTCATCGAGTCCAAACCCTCCCCCAGCAGCACCAAGGGGTCGGCCACTAAACCGTGTCCCCAGGTGCCGCAGCCAACCGTTTGTGGAGGGCTTACAGGGTTGGTGCCTGCCCTGGGCAGCCTGTCCCAAAGACTCATCAAAAAACCTCTCCACATAAAAACCTTCCTATTAGCGAATCTAAACCTCCCCTGCCGCAACCTGAGGCTGTTTCCTCTCATCCTGTCGCTTGTTACCTGGGAGAAGAGGCTGACACTGAGCTCATTCCACCCTCCTGTCAGGGGGTTGGTTGTTCCCTGAGCCGCTCCTCACCAGAATTTTGCTCCAGACCCTTCCCCAGCTCTGTTCCCTTCTCCGGACTTGCTCCAGCCCCTCAATGTCCTTCCCGAGTTCAGTGGCCCAGAATTGGATGCAGGATTCAAGGTGTGACCTCCCCAGTGCCCAGCACAGGTTAAGGGGGTGGATCTCAGCCCGCCCAGTCCCACTCCCCAGCATGGCCAGGTGTGGTAAGCACATTTCTCTCCCTCTTAAGGTTTTCCATAGTGGTGTACAGAGAGAAATGAAAGAGAAAACAATTTCTATTTATGTTCTTTGTTTTTCTTATGTGGAATGTGTTTAGAGAATTGTTTACTTGGAGTGAGTGATTAGATTCTGGTGACGATTGTTTGAGCCTGATGGTTAAGCTAATTCACATGTGTTTAGACTCTCGGGAGAGGGTCACGCGTTGTGTTAAGAGATAGAGTTAGAAAAAGTAGTATGTAGTTTTAGTAGCTTCATTTTATATAGTGTATTAATGTATTTTAGCCATACTTATAATAAAGAAATCATTCAGCCTTCTAAACTGAGTCAAACATCGTCATTTCTTTCCTTTACAACAGCCAGGGACACCTCCCGCTGCACTGGGGCGCTCCAAGCCCCATCCAGCCTGGCCTCGGGCACTTCCAGGGATCCAGGGGCAGCCACAGCTTCTCAGGCCAACCCTTCCCGCACCCCAAAACCCGCTCTGCGCCCGCCTGCCACACGCGGTTCCGTCCCGAGGCTCCCGCCGACGGCTGCTCCTCCTCCTCCTCATCTTCATCCTCCTCTTCTTCCTCCCGAGAGCACAGGAGGGCGCTCGTGGGCCGCGCCGGAGCGATCCGGGCGAGTGCCGGGGACACCGGGACCGGGATCGCCCGGGATACAGCCCCGGTGCCAGCCGGGATCCTCCCGGGATACAGCCCCCGGTGTTAGCCGGGATCCCCCGGGATACAGCCCCGGTGTTAGCCGGAATCCCCCGGTGCCAGCCGGGATCCCCGGGATACAGCTCCCGGTGCCAGCCGGGATCCCCCGGGATACAGCCCCCGGTGTTAGCCGGGATCCCCCGGGATACAGCCCCCGGTGCCAGCCGGGATCCCCCGGGATACAGCCCCCGGTGCCAGCCGGGATCCCCCGGGATACAGCCCCGGTGTTAGCCGGGATCCCCCGGGATACAGCCCCCGGTGCCAGCCGGGATCCCCCGGGACACAGCCCCAGTGTCAGCCGGGATCCCCCGGGATGCGGTGCCGCGTTCCCAGGGGTGACCCTGCCCTGCCCGGGGGTCCCAGCCAAGAGCCATCCCAAAGGCGGTTTATATTTATCCCGGTATCTGCTTCGGGCGGAAAGTTTCCCTCTCCCGGGCACAGCTGTCGAGTCCCATCTCCCTCCTCCCTCCGGCCCCGGCGAATGGCAGTCCCGGTTCCCCCCGGCCCGCTCCGTGCCGTGGGGCTGAGAGCTGGGGGTCTCGGTTTTGGGGTGCCTGTGTCACCCCGAGGCAGTGGCTGATGGATGAGGATGAAGGTGCTTCCCGCACATGCCGTGGTGCCTCCGTGTGGCATCTCCCAGCCACATCCGACTCACCTACAGAACAGAAAATATCCTGAGCTGAAAGGGATCACAAAGATCATCGAGTCCCCCTCTTGGCCCTGCACAGAACAGCCCCAAGAGTCACGCCATGTGTTGTTCAAATGTTTCCTGAGCTCTGTCAGCCTTGATGCTGTGCTCACCTCCCTGGGGAGCCTGTTTGGTGCCCAGCCACCCTCGGGGTGAGGAACCTTTCTCTAATATCCAGCTTAACTCTCCCCTGACACAGCTCCATGCCATTCCCTCAGGGCCTGTGTTGGGGCTTTCTCCACCTCTAAGAAAAGCCTCTGGCACTCAGTGAGGCTGTGAAGAGAGTAAGAGGAGAAAAGCCAACCTTTTCCATTCAGCAGCCTGTGAGCAATGCATGCACCCGCTTTTCCATCCATTTTCCAGAGGAAAATGCAGGAGCTGTAGAAAAAAAAAAAAGACATTGCATGAGAGGCAGGAATAGTCTGTCTTTTATGCTCCTGCTGTCTTAACAGCCTTACTGGGTGCTGGAGGCTTTTCTTAGGGGGAGAAAACCCCCAAAATAGTCAAGGCAGCAAGCTGGAGCATCCCAGTGACAGCCCCTGAGGGAATGGCATGGAGCTGTGTCAGGGGAGGGTTAGGATCAAAACTCCTCACCCGAGGGTGTTGGGCACTGGAACAGGGTCCCCAAGGAAGTGGTCACAGCACCAAGCCTCGCAGAATTCCAGAAACATTGGCACAACTCTCTCAGGCACATGATGGGATATTTGGGGCTATCCTGTGCAGGGCCAGGAGTTGGACTCGATGATCCTTGTGTGCCCCTTCCCATGCAGAATATTCGAATATTTGATGTTTCCATGATCACTGAAGCACCTGGACACAGCCATGCAGGGCCACCAAAGCGTGTCCCTGACCCTGAAGTGGGGTGAGTGCAGGTACACCACAGCCCTCCATGGAACAGGAGGGGATCCCTGCACCCCACCTCGCCCGAGAGGGGCACTGGGGTCCCACCCTCTGCTCAGCATCAGACTGGGGGCAGGTTCAGCTGTGCCAGAGGCAGGAGTGCACCCACTCTTCCCCCAGCTGCTTTCTGTGGGGACAAAGGGTACCCTGTTGTCTGTGACCCCCACAGCCTGTGCAGGGGGTATGAAGCACTGGTTTGAACTGGGAGGGGGGGAAAGGCTGAACCAACTTGGCTCTGTCACTTGAAAAAAAAAAAAAGTATATGTATGACTGACTAACACCCAGCCTGGTAAACAAACCGCAATATTAATTTATAATAAATATATACCATAATTATTATATTAATACAATATATTAATATATCATATCCATATATTAATATATCACATTACTATATGATATATTAATATTCATATACATATATATAATGTATAATAGATCTTTTATATATGGCATAATATATATTAATATATATTATAATGCATACTATAAATAAATATCTATAATTAAATATTTATTTATAATAAAAATAATTTTTATTATTACAAAAATTATTATAAAACATTATAAAACATGTAAAAGACATTTAACATATTCTAAAATACAAAAATATTCTAAATTATTCTACTATTATTATAGAACTTTTAATTTATTTTTAAAATTCTAATTGATTTTTATTTTTTTTATTACTCCTGCTCCCACCACTCCCCAGCAGCCCCGTTCGGCTTCACCAGCTGTGCCAGCTCTCTTTCACTTTTTCCTTGCCTTTTTATTCTTTATTTTTTTTCAAAAGAGGGACTGCACGGAGGGTCTGATGCTTCCTCCCACTCCCTCGCTCTGGTAGGCATGGGAGCATGAGTAATAAAAAAATAAAAATCAATTAGAATTCTAAAAATAAATTTAAATTTCTATAATGAGACTACAAGAATTTATAATATTTTTATATTTTAGAATATTTTAAATATTTTTACATGTTTTATAATATTTTATAAAAAAATCTAAAAAGTGGAGGTTTTGGGAGCCTGGTGTGGAAACGCTGAGTTTGGGGATGCTGGCTCAGACTGCTGCTCCTGCTCTGCTGGATAATGTCGATGTCGTTGCTGGGACAGAGCAGGATGGGAGCCCAGCCCTTCTGCTGGATGCACCAAACCTCCTGCAAACACGAGGTGGGGCAGGGCTGGGACAGCTCCCAGTCACCCCAGTATGAGCCAGGTGAAATTCAGCCCGTTCCCCCAGCCCTGCGCTGCAGACAACACAAAACCCGAAGCATTACAAGCCCCAAGGAGTAAAAAATATCAATGATGCAGGGGCCTTGCACGGGCTGTGTGTGTGGGTCTGGGATAGCAAAGACACAATAACAGGCCGTGACCAGCAGTGCCAAGCAGGGAAAAAAATATCCCGGCATAATTATCATCTCCATCCTGCTGGTCAGCCTGGAGACCTGTCATTGTCCCTGTGCAGAGGGCAGAGGCCAACACACACACCAAGCCTGAAAGCTACATCTGAAAGGATCCCTGCGAGCTATGATTACTTTTTTTTTTTTTCCCCACAACAAAAGGAGAATGAGGCAATTAGGAGCTGGTTCATTTGTGGACGTGCCTTTTACAGGGGGAGACACCGGCCTAAGGAGGAGGAGCAGGCTGGGGATGTGTGTGGCTCCCGAGGGTGAGTGGCACGGGGAACCAGTGGCACTCCCCTCCTCTGGCACAGCCCCCAGCACACGTCTGATGCTTTGTCAAGGCTGACCTGGAACAGAGACATTTCTTTCTTCTTGAGCTTTAGACAGAGCTAAAGAATAAAGTAGGGATTTATTAAAGGGCCTCAAGGGATCTACCTTGGGCAGCAAAAGAGCCCAGCCAGGGCTGCACCCAGATGAACCAAAATGGTCACAAAATGGACAGCCAGTCATGGGGTCTCTCACTTTTATAAGTTCTGCTCCATTTGCATATTGGAGTTAATTGTCCAGTTACAGCTTTAGGTTATGAAGTCCCATCCTGCTTGTTTTTCTCTCTTCAGCCCGTGTTGTTTATGCTTCTGGGCCTG